TGTCTTCACACTCAGTGTCTACACACACAGTGTCTCCACACACAGTGTCTACACACACAGCGTCTTCACACTCAGTGTCTACACACACAGTGTCTACACACACAGTGTCTACACACTCAGTGTCTTCACACTCAGTGTCTACACACATAGTGTCTCCACACACAGTGTCTACACACACAGCGTCTTCACACTCAGTGTCTACACACACAGTGTCTACACACACAGTGTCTACACACACAGTGTCTACACACACAGTGTCTACACACACAGCGTCTACACACACAGTGTCTACACACACAGTGTCTACACACTCAGTGTCTACACACTCAGTGTCTTCACACACAGTGTCTACACACTCAGTGTCTACACACACAGTGTCTACACACACAGTGTCTACACACACAGCGTCTACACACACAGTGTCTACACACACAGTGTCTACACACACAGTGTCTACACACACAGTGTCTACACACACAGCGTCTACACACACAGTGTCTACACACACAGTGTCTACACACACAGTGTCTACACACACAGTGTCTACACACACAGTGTCTACACACACAGTGTCTACACACACAGTGTCTACACACACAGTGTCTACACACTCAGTGTCTACACACACAGTGTCTACACACACAGTGTCTACACACACAGTGTCTACACACACAGTGTCTACACACACAGTGTCTACACACACAGTGTCTACACACACAGTGTCTACACACACAGTGTCTACACACTCAGTGTCTTCACACACAGTGTCTACACACACAGTGTCTACACACACAGTGTCTACACACACAGTGTCTACACACTCAGTGTCTACACACACACACAGTGTCTACACACTCAGTGTCTACACACTCAGTGTCTACACACACAGTGTCTACACACACAGCGTCTACACACACAGCGTCTACACACACAGTGTCTACACACTCAGTGTCTACACACTCAGCGTCTGCACACTCAGTGTCTACACACTCAGTGTCTACACACACAGCGTCTTCACACACAGTGTCTACACACACAGTGTCTACACACTCAGCGTCTACACACACAGTGTCTACACACACAGTGTCTACACACACAGTGTCTACACATTCAGTGTCTACACACACAGTGTCTACACACTCAGTGTCTACACACTCAGTGTCTACACACACAGTGTCTACACACTCAGTGTCTACACACTCAGCGTCTACACACTCAGTGTCTTCACACACAGTGTCTTCACACACAGTGTCTACACACACAGTGTCTTCACACACAGTGTCTACACACACAGTGGCTACACACACAGTGTCTACACACTCAGTGTCTACACACACAGTGTCTACACACACAGTGTCTACACACACAGTGTCTACACACACAGTGTCTACACACTCAGTGTCTTCACACACACACACAGTGTCTACACACACAGCGTCTACACACTCAGTGTCTACACACACAGCATCTACACACACAGTGTCTACACACACAGTGTCTACACACACAGTGTCTACACACACAGTGTCTACACACACAGTGTCTACACACTCAGTGTCTACACACACAGTGTCTACACACACAGCGTCTACACACACAGTGTCTACACACACAGTGTCTACACACACAGTGTCTACACACACAGTGTCTACACACACAGTGTCTACACACTCAGTGTCTTCACACACAGTGTCTACACACACAGTGTCTACACACACAGTGTCTACACACACAGTGTCTACACACACAGTGTCTACACACACAACGTCTACACACACAGCGTCTACACACACAGTGTCTACACACTCAGTGTCTACACACTCAGCGTCTACACACTCAGTGTCTACACACTCAGTGTCTACACACACAGCGTCTTCACACACAGTGTCTACACACACAGTGTCTACACACTCAGCGTCTACACACACAGTGTCTACACACACAGTGTCTTCACACACAGTGTCTACACACACAGTGTCTACACACACAGTGTCTACACACTCAGCGTCTACACACACAGTGTCTACACACTCAGTGTCTACACACTCAGTGTCTACACACACAGTGTCTACACACACAGTGTCTTCCCACACAGCGTCTTCACACACAGTGTCTACACACACAGTGTCTACACACACAGTGTCTACACACACAGTGTCTACACACACAGCGTCTTCACACACAGTGTCTACACACACAGTGTCTACACACACAGTGTCTTCACACTCAGTGTCTACACACTCAGCGTCTACACACACAGTGTCTACACACTCAGTGTCTACACACTGAGTGTCTACACACACAGTGTCTTCACACTCAGTGTCTACACACTCAGTGTCTACACACACAGTGTCTACACACTCAGTGTCTACACACACAGCGTCTACACACTCAGTGTCTACACACACAGTGTCTACACACACAGTGTCTACACACACAGCGTCTTCACACACAGTGTCTACACACACAGCGTCTTCACACACAGTGTCTACACACACAGTGTCTACACACACAGCGTCTTCACACACAGTGTCTACACACACAGTGTCTACACACTCAGTGTCTACACACACAGTGTCTACACACACAGCGTCTACACACACAGTGTCTACACACTCAGTGTCTACACACAGTGTCTACACACTCAGCGTCTCCTCACACACAGTGTCTTCACACACACACAATGTCTACACACACAGCGTCTTCACACACAGCGTCTACACACACAGTGTCTACACACACAGCGTCTACACACTCAGTGTCTACACACACAGTGTCTACACACACAGCGTCTACACACACAGTGTCTTCACACACAGTGTCTACACACTCAGTGTCTTCACACTCAGTGTCTACACACACAGCGTCTTCACACTCAGTGTCTTCACACACAGTGTCTTCACACTCAGTGTCTTCACACACAGTGTCTTCACACACAGTGTCTACACACACAGTGTCTACACACACAGTGTCTACGCACACAGTGTCTACGCACACAGCGTCTACACACACAGCGTCTTCACACACAGTGTCTACACACTCAGTGTCTTCACACACAGCGTCTTCACACTCAGTGTCTACACACTCAGTGTCTACACACACAGTGTCTACACACACAGCGTCTACACACACAGTGTCTACACACACAGCGTCTACACACACAGTGTCTACACACACAGTGTCTACACACTCAGTTTCTACACACACAGCGTCTTCACACACAGCGTCTACACACACAGTGTCTACACACTCAGTGTCTACACACACAGTGTCTACACACACAATGTCTACACACACAGTGTCTTCACACACAGCGTCTACACACACAGCGTCTTCACACACAGTGTCTACACACACACAGTGTCTTCACACACAGCGTCTTCACACACAGTGTCTTCACACTCAGTGTCTTCACACACAGTGTCTACACACTCAGTGTCTACACACACAGTGTCTCCTCACACAGTGTCTTCACACACAGTGGCTACACACACAGTGTCTACACACTCATTGTCTTCACACTCAGTGTCTTCACACTCAGCGTCTTCACACACAGTGTCTACACACACAGCGTCTACACCCACAGTGTCTACACACACAGTGTCTTCACACTCAGTGTCTTCACACACAGTGTCTACACACTCAGTGTCTACACACTCAGTGTCTACACACTCAGTGTCTACACACTCAGTGTCTACACACACAGTGTCTACACACACAGTGTCTACACACACAGTGTCTACACACACAGTGTCTACACACTCAGTGTCTTCACACACAGCGTCTTCACACTCAGTGTCTACACACACAGTGTCTACACACTCAGTGTCTACACACACAGTGTCTACACACTCAGTGTCTACACACTCAGTGTCTACACACACAGTGTCTACACACACAGTGTCTACACACTCAGTGTCTACACACTCAGTGTCTACACACACAGTGTCTACACACACAGTGTCTACACACTCAGTGTCTACACACACAGTGTCTACACACTCAGCGACTCCTCACACAGTGTCTACACACACAGTGTCTACACACTCAGTGTCTTCACACTCAGTGTCTTCACACACAGTGTCTCCTCACACAGTGTCTACACACACAGTGTCTACACACTCAGCGACTCCTCACACAGCGTCTTCACACTCAGCGTGTGAATACGCTGAGTGATGATGATGCCGATGGTGGTGATGTTGATGATGCCGATGGTGGTGATGTTGATGATGCTGATGATGTTTTTCACAGAACAATTTGAATCGCGATGTTGTCTTCAAGCGGAGCGGCCGATGATGGCCTCAGCAACATCACCGCCATCGCCACCACCATCAACGCCATCACCACCACCATCAACGCCGTCAACGTCAACGCCAACATCAACGCCGCCACCATCAACGCCGTCACCGCGTTGCCGGTGAAGCTGCTGGACCTCCCACTCAACTCCACGCCGGACGACAAAATCCGTAGCCAGCACCGACAACAGCAGCAGCAGCATCAACCAGACCATCATCACCTTGACCAGGATCATCAACCAGACCATCATCACCTTGACCAGGATCATCATCCAGACCATCATCACCTTGACCAGGATCATCAACCAGACCATCATCACCTTGACCAGGATCATCAACCAGACCATCATCACCTTGACCAGGATCATCATCCAGACCATCATCACCTTGACCAGGATCATCAACCAGACCATCATCACCTTGACCAGGATCATCAACCAGACCATCATCACCTTGACCAGGATCATCAACCAGACCATCATCACCTTGACCAGGATCATCAACCAGACCATCATCACCTTGACCAGGATCATCAACCAGACCATCATCACCTTGACCAGGATCATCAACCAGACCATCATCACCTTGACCAGGATCATCAACCAGACCATCATCACCTTGACCAGGATCATCAACCAGACCATCATCACCTTGACCAGGATCATCAGCGTGATCACCTCCACCTTGATCATCAGCGTGATCACCATGACCACCACCTTGATCATCAGCGTGATCACCTCCACCTTGACCATAATCATCAGCGTGATCACCGTGACCACCACCACGACCACAGCGACCACCCCCACCGTGACCACCGCGACCACCACCCCCACCACCGTGACCACGACCACCACCACAGTGACCACCGTGACCACGACCACCACCACAGTGACCGTGACCACCACAGCGACCACCACCCCCACCACCACAGTGACCGTGACCACCACAGCGACCACCACCCCCACCACCACAGTGACCACCACCACAGCGACCCCCACCACCGTGACCCCCACAGCGACCCACCCAGCGAGCGTCGTCGCCGTCGCCCCGCCCCCGGCACCGCCGCCCCCGGCACCACCGCCTCCACCGCCACCGCCACCACCTCCTCCTCCTCCTCGCCACCGCCACGCTTCCTGACGAGCCGTGGCCGCTGTGCGGTGTCCCACGTGAACGTTGGTGCCCGTGGCCGCCTGCTGCACGACGTCTTCACGTCGCTCGTGGACGCCTCGTGGAGCCGCACCGTCGCCGCCGTCGCCGCCACCTTCCTGGGCACCTGGGGCCTCTTCGCCCTCGCCTGGTGGCTCGTGGCCTTCGCCCACGGCGACCTGGACCCGGGCTCGCGTCGCCACGGCGACCCGGGGACCCGTCGCCACGGCGACCCGGGGACCCGTCGCCACGGCGACGCCGCAGTCGTGGTCGGCACGGGGGCGCGAGACGGACGAGGCACAGCGGAGACGTAGGTCGTTACAATTACACCACGTTACACCACGTTACAATTACACCACGTTACAATTACACCACGTTACAATTACACCACGTTACAATTACACCACGTTACACCACGTTACAATTACACCACGTTACAATTACACCACGTTACAATTACACCACGTTACAATTACACCACGTTACACCACGTTACAATTACACCACGTTACAATTACACCACGTTACACCACGTTACAATTACACCACGTTACAATCACACCACGTTACAATTACACCACGTTACAATTACACCACGTTACAATTACACCACGTTACAATTACACCACGTTACAATTACACCACGTTACAATTACACCACGTTACAATTACACCACGTTACAATTACACCACGTTACAATTACACCACGTTACAATTACACCACGTTACAATTACACCACGTTACAATTACACCACGTTACAATTACACCACGTTACAATTACACCACGTTACAATTACACCACGTTACAATTACACCACGTTACAATTACACCACGTTACAATTACACCACGTTACAATTACACCACGTTACAATTACACCACGTTACAATTACACCACGTTACAATTACACCACGTTACAATTACACTACGTTACAATTACACCACGTTACAATTACACCACGTTACAATTACACCACGTTACAATTACACTACGTTACAATTACACCACGTTACACTACGTTACACTTCACTACAGAGACATTACACTACGTTACACTACACTACAGAGATGTAGGTCGTTACAGAGACGTTACAGAGACACTACAGAGACACTACGTTACAGAGACACTACACTACGTTACACTACACTACGTTACACTACGTTACAGAGACACTACACTACGTTACACTACACTACGTTACACTACACTACGTTACACTACACTACGTTACACTACACTACAGAGACACTACGTTACAGAGACACTACACTACGTTACACTACACTACAGAGACGTTACACTACACTACAGAGACGTTACAGAGACATTACACTACACTACAGAGACGTAGGTCGTTACAGAGACGTTACAGAGACACTACGTTACACTACGTTACAATCACACTACGTTACACTACACTACAGAGACGTTACAGAGACATTACACTACACTACAGAGACGTAGGTCGTTACAGAGACGTTACAGAGACACTACAGAGACACTACGTTACAATTACACTACACTACGTTACACTACACTACAGAGACACTACGTTACACTACGTAACATTACACTACGTTACACTACACTACAGAGAAGTTACAGAGACGTAGGTCGTTACAGAGACGTTACAGAGACACTACGTTACAGAGACACTACACTACGTTACACTACACTACAATTACACTACAGAGACACTACACTACGTTACACTACACTACAATTACACTACAGAGACACTACACTACGTTACACTACACTACAATTACACTACAGAGACACTACACTACGTTACAGAGACATTACACTACGTTACACTACACTACAGAGAAGTTACAGAGACGTAGGTCGTTACAGAGACGTTACAGAGACACTACGTTACACTACGTTACAATTACACTACGTTACACTACAGACACGTTACACTACACTACGTTACACTACACTACGTTACACTACAGACACGTTACAATTACACTACGTTACACTACACTACGTTACACTACGTTACAATTACACTACGTTACACTACGTTACAATTACACTACGTTACACTTCACTACAGAGACGTAGGTTGTTACAGAGACGTTACAGAGACACTACGTTACAGAGACACTACACTACGTTACACTACACTACAGAGACATTACACTACGTTACACTACACTACAGAGACATAGGTCGTTACAGAGACGTTACAGAGACACTACGTTACACTACGTTACAATCATACTACGTTACACTACACTACAGAGACGTAGGTCGTTACAGAGACGTTACAGAGACACTACGTTACACTACGTTACAATCATACTACGTTACACTACACTACGTTACACTACACTACAGAGACGTTACAGAGACATTACACTACACTACAGAGACGTAGGTCGTTACAGAGACGTTACAGAGACACTACGTTACACTACGTTACAATCACACTACGTTACACTACACTACGTTACACTACACTACGTTACACTACACTACAGAGACGTTACAGAGACATTACACTACACTACAGAGACGTAGGTCGTTACAGAGACACTACGTTACAGAGACACTACAGAGACACTACACTACGTTACACTACACTACAGAGACATTACGTTACACTACACTACGTTACACTACGTTACACTACACTACGTTACACTACGTTACAATCACACTACGTTACACTACACTACGTTACACTACACTACGTTACACTACGTTATAGAGACACTACACTACGTTACACTACACTACACTACGTTACACTACACTACACTACGTTACATTACACTACACTACGTTACACTACACTACACTACGTTACGCTACACTACGTTACACTACACTACGTTACACTACGTTACAGAGACACTACACTACACTACGTTACACTACACTACATTACACTACACTACGTTACACTACACTGCACTACATTACATTACACTACACTACGTTACACTACACTACACTACGTTACACTACACTACACTACGTTACACTACACTACACTACGTTACACTACACTACACTACGTTACACTACACTACACTGCGTTACACTACACTACGTTACATTACGTTACATTACACTACGTTACACTGCGTTACATTACACTACGTTACACTACGTTACACTACACTACGTTACACTACACTGCACTACGTTACATTACACTACACTACGTTACACTACACTACACTACGTTACACTGCACTACGTTACACTACACTACGTTACACTACGTTACACTACACTGCACTACGTTACATTACACTACACTACGTTACACTACACTACACTACGTTACACTACACTACGTTACATTACGTTACATTACATTACGTTACACTACGTTACATTACACTACGTTACACTACACTACAGAGACACTACACTACAGAGACGTTACACTACACTACGTTACACTACAGAGACGTTACAGAGACGTTACACTACAGAGACGTTACAGAGACGTTACACTACAGAGACACTACACTACAGAGACACTACACTACAGACACGTTACAGAGACGTTACACTACACTACAGAGACGTTACACTACAGAGACGTTACACAACACTACGTTACACTACGTTACACTACACTACGTTACACTACGTTACATTATGCTACAATACGTTACACTACGTTACATTACGTTACACTACGTTACATTATGTTACATTACGTTACACCACGTTACATTACGTTACACTACGTTACATTATGTTACATAACGTTACACTACGTTACATTATGTTACATCACGTTACACTACGTTACACTACGTTACATTACGTTACACTACGTTACATTATGCTACATTACGTTACACCACGTTACATTATGTTACATTACGTTACACTACGTTACATTATGTAACATTACGTTACACTACGTTACATTACGTTACACAACGTTACATTATGTTACATTACGTTACACTACGTTACATTATGTTACATTACGTTACACTACGTTACATTATGTTACATTACGTTACACTACGTTACACTACGTTACATAACGTTACGTTACACTACGTTATGAGACAGAGTACTGAAGGGGGGAGGGGCGGTGGCGTTACCGTGGAGTGAATACGCGCAGAGGGGAGTGATGACGTAAACCCCCCTAGCAACCACTGCCACGCCCACAGTTACAGTCTCCATAGCGACCGCCTCCCCCTAGCAACCACTGCCACGCCCACAGTTACAGTCTCCATAGCGACCGCCGCCCCCTAGCAACCACTGCCACGCCCACAGTTACAGTCTCCATAGCGACCGCCGCCCCCTAGCAACCACTGCCACGCCCACAGTTACAGTCTCCATAGCGACCGCCGCCCCCTAGCAACCACTGCCACGCCCACAGTTACAGTCTCCATAGCGACCGCCGCCCCCTAGCAACCACTGCCACGCCCACAGTTACAGTCTTCATAGCGACCGCCGCCCCCTAGCAACTACTGCCACGCCCACAGTTACAATCTCCATAGCGACCGCCTCCCCCTAGCAACCACTGCCACGCCCACAGTTACAATCTCCATAGCGACCGCCGCCCCCTAGCAACCACTGCCACGCCCACAGTTACAATCTCCATAGCAACCGCCGCCCCCTAGCAGCCACTGCCACGCCCACAGTTACAATCTCCATAGCGACCGCTACACTACGTTACACTACACTACAGAGACGTTACAGAGACGTTACACTACACTACAGAGACGTTACAGAGACGTTACACTACAGAGACGTTACAGAGACGTTACACTACAGAGACACTACACTACAGAGACACTACACTACAGACACGTTACAGAGACGTTACACTACACTACAGAGACGTTACACTACAGAGACGTTACACTACACTACGTTACACTACGTTACACTACACTACGTTACACTACGTTACATTATGTTACAATACGTTACATTACGTTACACTACGTTACATTATGTTACATTACGTTACACCACGTTACATTACGTTACACTACGTTGCATTATGTTACATAACGTTACACTACGTTACATTATGTTACATCACGTTACACTACGTTACATTACGTTACACTACGTTACATTATGTTACATTACGTTACACTACGTTACATTATGTTACATTACGTTACACTACGTTACATTATGTTACATTACGTTACACTACGTTACATAACGTTACGTTACACTACGTTATGAGACAGAGTACTGAAGGGGGGAGGGGCGGTGGCGTTACCGTGGAGTGAATACGCGCAAAGGGGAGTGATGACGTAAACCCTAGCAACCACTGCCACGCCCACAGTTACAGTCTCCATAGCGACCGCCGCCCCCTAGCAACCACTGCCACGCCCACAGTTACAGTCTCCATAGCGACCGCCGCCCCCTAGCAACCACTGCCACGCCCACAGTTACAGTCTTCATAGCGACCGCCGCCCCCTAGCAACTACTGCCACGCCCACAGTTACAATCTCCATAGCGACCGCCGCCCCCTAGCAACCACTGCCACGCCCACAGTTACAATCTCCATAGCAACCGCCGCCCCCTAGCAGCCACTGCCACGCCCACAGTTACAATCTCCATAGCGACCGCCGCCCCCTAGCAACCACTGCCACGCCCACAGTTACAGTCTCCATAGCGACCGCCTCCCCCTAGCAACCACTGCTACGCCCGTCAGTTACAATCTCCATAGCGACCGCCTCCTCCTAGCAACCACTGCCACGCCCACAGTTACAATCTCCATAGCAACCACCGCCCCCTAGCAACCACGCCCACAGTTACAATCTCCATAGCGACCGCCGCCCCCTAGCAACCACTGCCACACCCACAGTTACAATCTCCATAGCGACCGCCGCCCCCTAGCAACCACTGCCACGCCCACAGTTACAATCTCCATAGCAACCGCCGCCCCCTAGCAACCACTGCCACGCCCACAGTTACAATCTCCATAGCGACCGCCGTCCCCTAGCAACCACTGCCACGCCCACAGTTACAATCTCCATAGCAACCGCCGCCCCCTAGCAGCCACTGCCACGCCCACAGTTACAATCTCCATAGCGACCGCCGCCCCCTAGCAACCACTGCCACGCCCACAGTTACAGTCTCCATAGCGACCGCCTCCCCCTAGCAACCACTGCCACGCCCACAGTTACAATCTCCATAGCGACCGCCTCCTCCTAGCAACCACTGCCACGCCCACAGTTACAATCTCCATGGCAACCGCCGCCCCCTAGCAACCACTGCCACGCCCACAGTTACAATCTCCATAGCGACTGCCGCCCCCTAGCAACCACTGCCACGCCCACAGTTACAATCTCCATAGCAACCGCCGCCCCCCTAGCAACCACTGCCACGCCCACAGTTACAATCTCCATAGCAACCGCCGCCCCCTAGCAGCCACTGCCACGCCCACAGTTACAATCTCCATAGCGACCGCCGCCCCCTAGCAACCACTGCCACGCCCACAGTTACAGTCTCCATAGCGACCGCCTCCCCCTAGCAACCACTGCCACGCCCACAGTTACAATCTCCATAGCGACCGCCGCCCCCTAGCAACCACTGCCACGCCCACAGTTACAATCTCCATAGCAACCGCCGCCCCCTAGCAGCCACTGCCACGCCCACAGTTACAATCTCCATAGCGACCGCCGCCCCCTAGCAACCACTGCCACGCCCACAGTTACAGTCTCCATAGCGACCGCCTCCCCCTAGCACCCACTGCCACGCCCACAGTTACAATCTCCATAGCGACCGCCGCCCCCTAGCAACCACTGCCACGCCCACAGTTACAATCTCCATAGCGACCGCCGCCCCCTAGCAACCACTGCCACGCCCACAGTTACAATCTCCATAGCAACCGCCGCCCCCTAGCAACCACTGCCACGCCCACAGTTACAATCTCCATAGCGACCGCCGCCCCCTAGCAACCACTGCCACGCCCACAGTTACAATCTCCATAGCGACCGCCTCCCCCTAGCAACCACTGCCACGCCCACAGTTACAATCTCCATAGCGACCGCCTCCTCCTAGCAACCACTGCCACGCCCACAGTTACAATCTCCATAGCAACCGCCGCCCCCTAGCAACCACTGCCACGCCCACAGTTACAATCTCCATAGCGACCGCCGCCCCCTAGCAACCACTGCCACGCCCACAGTTACAATCTCCATAGCAACCGCCGCCCCCTAGCAACCACTGCCACGCCCACAGTTACAATCTCCATAGCAACCGCCGCCCCCTAGCAGCCACTGCCACGCCCACAGTTACAATCTCCATAGCGACCGCCGCCCCCTAGCAACCACTGCCACGCCCACAGTTACAGTCTCCATAGCGACCGCCTCCCCCTAGCAACCACTGCCACGCCCACAGTTACAATCTCCATAGCGACCGCCTCCTCCTAGCAACCACTGCCACGCCCACAGTTACAATCTCCATAGCAACCGCCGCCCCCTAGCAACCACTGCCACCCCCACAGTTACAATCTCCATAGCGACCGCCGCCCCCTAGCAACCACTGCCACGCCCACAGTTACAATCTCCATAGCGACCGCCGCCCCCTAGCAACCACTGCCACGCCCACAGTTACAATCTCCATAGCGACCGCCGCCCCCTAGCAACCACTGCCACGCCCACAGAGTCACGGTCTCCATGGCGACCGCCGCCCCCTAGCAACCACTGCCACGCCCACAGAGTTACAATCTCCATAGCGACCGCGGTGGCTGTGAGATGTTGACTACCTCGCCTGGTACGCAGGAGGTCGTGGATTCGATCCCGTCCCTGACGACGCCTGCTGCTGCTGCTGCTGTCCACGTGGAGTCTGCCTCTCTCTCTCTCTCTCTGCGGTTATTCCCCGTCCGCGTTCAGGATGAACATCGCCACGGGGTGCTGACGGTGTTACCGTGCCCCGGGTTGAGACTCTCGTCCACCACGCGGTGGTGACGGTGTTACCGTGCCCCGGGTTGAGACTCTCGTCCACCACGGGGTGGTGACGGTGTTACCGTGCCCCGGGTGGTGACGGTGTTACCGTGCCCCGGGTGGTGACGGTGTTACCGTGCCCCGGGTTGAGACTCTCGTCCACCACGCGGTGGTGACGGTGTTACCGTGCCCCGGGTGGTGACGGTGTTACCGTGCCCCGGGTTGAGACTCTCGTCCACCACGGGGTGGTGACGGTGTTACCGTGCCCCGGGTGGTGACGGTGTTACCGTGCCCCGGGTTGAGACTCTCGTCCACCACGGGGTGGTGACGGTGTTACCGTGCCCCGGGTTGAGACTCTCGTCCACAACGGGGTGGTGACGGTGTTACCGTGCCCTGGGTGGTGACGGTGTTACCGTGCCCCGGGTGGTGACGGTGTTACCGTGCCCCGGGTTGAGACTCTCGTCCACCACGGGGTGGTGACGGTGTTACCGTGCCCTGGGTGGTGACGGTGTTACCGTGCCCCGGGTGGTGACGGTGTTACCGTGCCCCGGGTGGTGACGGTGTTACCGTGCCCCGGGTGGTGACGGTGTTACCGTGCCCTGGGTGGTGACGGTGTTACCGTGCCCCGGGTTGAGAGTCTCGTCCCCCACGGGGTGGTGACGGTGTTACCGTGCCCTGGGTGGTGACGGTGTTACCGTGCCCCGGGTGGTGACGGTGTTACCGTGCCCCGGGTGGTGACAGTGTTACCGTGCCCCGGGTGGTGACGGTGTTACCGTGCCCCGGGTGGTGACGGTGTTACCGTGCCCCGGGTGGTGACGGTGTTACCGTGCCCCGGGTGGTGACGGTGTTACCGTGCCCCGGGTTGAGAGTCTCGTCCACCACGGGGTGGTGACGGTGTTACCGTGCCCCGGGTTGAGACTCTCGTCCACCACGGGGTGGTGACGGTGTTACCGTGCCCTGGGTGGTGACGGTGTTACCGTGCCCCGGGTGGTGACGGTGTTACCGTGCCCTGGGTGGTGACGGTGTTACCGTGCCCCGGGTGGTGACGGTGTTACCGTGCCCCGGGTGGTGACGGTGTTACCGTGCCCCGGGTGGTGACGGTGTTACCGTGCCCCGGGTGGTGACGGTGTTACCGTGCCCCGGGTTGAGAGTCTCGTCCCCCACGGGGTGGTGACGGTGTTACCGTGCCCTGGGTGGTGACGGTGTTACCGTGCCCCGGGTGGTGACGGTGTTACCGTGCCCCGGGTGGTGACAGTGTTACCGTGCCCCGGGTGGTGACGGTGTTACCGTGCCCCGGGTGGTGACGGTGTTACCGTGCCCCGGGTGGTGACGGTGTTACCGTGCCCCGGGTGGTGACGGTGTTACCGTGCCCCGGGTTGAGAGTCTCGTCCACCACGGGGTGGTGACGGTGTTACCGTGCCCCGGGTTGAGACTCTCGTCCACCACGGGGTGGTGACGGTGTTACCGTGCCCTGGGTGGTGACGGTGTTACCGTGCCCCGGGTGGTGACGGTGTTACCGTGCCCTGGGTGGTGACGGTGTTACCGTGCCCCGGGTGGTGACGGTGTTACCGTGCCCCGGGTGGTGACGGTGTTACCGTGCCCCGGGTGGTGACGGTGTTACCGTGCCCCGGGTGGTGACGGTGTTACCGTGCCCCGGGTGGTGACGGTGTTACCGTGCCCCGGGTGGTGACGGTGTTACCGTGCCCTGGGTGGTGACGGTGTTACCGTGCCCCGGGTGGTGACGGTGTTACCGTGCCCCGGGTTGAGACTCTCGTCCACCACGGGGTGGTGACGGTGTTACCGTGCCCTGGGTGGTGACGGTGTTACCGTGCCCCGGGTGGTGACGGTGTTACCGTGCCCCGGGTGGTGACGGTGTTACCGTGCCCTGGGTGGTGACGGTGTTACCGTGCCCCGGGTGGTGACGGTGTTACCGTGCCCCGGGTGGTGACGGTGTTACCGTGCCCTGGGTGGTGACGGTGTTACCGTGCCCCGGGTGGTGACGGTGTTACCGTGCCCCGGGTTGAGACTCTCGCCTAGCCCCTCACCGAGATGGCGGCGGTAGCGGCGGAGGTGCACGCTAAGAACTTTCTCTCTGCTCAGCTCCGCGGACCTCGGTTGGTGCCCTGGGGTTGCGGTGGCAGGCGGTGGCGGTGGCGGCGGTGGTGGTGGTGGCGGTGGTGGCGGTGGTGGCGGTGGTGGTGGTGGTGGTGGTGGCGGTGGTGGTGGTGGTGGTGGTGTTGAACTTGGCCTCGTGAAGTCCGAGGCGTCTGCCGCCCGGGAGTCTCCGGGCTCGGTGTCGATGTCTCCAATCCTCACGGAGCCCTCGTCGCTCGACACCAACACCACCACCACCACCTCCTCAAATGGCTCCTCCACCTCTTCGCCCAGGACCGCCTCTTTCTCCACCACCACCAACACCACCTCAACAACCTCCACACTCGCCACCACCTCCACCACCACCTCCTCCACCACCTCCTCCACCACCTCCACCTCCTCCTCCTCCACCACCTCCTCCACCACCTCCTCCTCCATCTCCTCCACCTCCTCACCCGTCACCACCTCAGCAAGCACCTCCTCACCCTTCATCGCCACCACCTCCTCACCCTTCATCGCCACCACCTCCTCACCCTTCATCGCCACCACCTCCTCACCCGTCACCACCTCAGCAAGCACCTCCTCACCACCATCTGCCTCCTCCTCCTCCTCTGTCCCCACTCAGCCATCACCATCTCCCGCTCCTTCCTCACATCATCACCACCACCATAGCCACCCACCTCCTCCGCTATCATCACCACCTCCACCCTCGTCCCAGCCTCATCATCCTCCAGCCTCACCTCCTCATCCTCCTCACTCGTCATCTCCTCCTCCTCCTCTTCCACCACCACCACCACAGCCAACACAACCACCTCATCTTCCTCCACAACCACCACCACCACCACATCTTCCACCACCACCACCACCTCATCTTCCACCACCACCACAACCACCACCTCATCTTCCACCAGCACCACCACCATCACCACCACCAGCACCAGCAGCTGATCTTCCAGCACCAGCACCACAACCAGCAGCAGCTGATCTTCCAGCACCAGCACCACAACCACCAGCAGCTGATCTTCCACCAGCAGCAGCAGCTGATCCTCAGCAGCCGCCCCACTCGCCGTGTGTGCGTGGGGTTCGTTCCTTCCCCTCATCACCACCACCACCAGCAGCAGCACCACCAGCACCTCCATCACCATCACCACCACCAGCAGCTGATCTTCCACCAGCAGCAGCATCACCACCAGCACCACCACCACCAGCACCTCCATCACCATCACCACCACCAGCAGCTGACCTTCCAGCAGCAGCAGCTGATCCTCCGCGGCCGCCCCACTCGCCGTGCGTGCGTGGGGTCCGCTCCTTCCCCTCATCACCATCACCACCACCAGCAGCATCACCACCACCACCAGCACCTCCATCACCATCACCACCACCAGCAGCTGATCTTCCACCAGCAGCAGCATCACCACCAGCACCACCACCACCAGCATCACCACTACCACCAGCACCTCCATCACCATCACCACCACCAACAGCTGATCTTCCACCAGCACCAGCATCACCACCAGCACCACCACCAGCAGCAGCTGATCTTCCAGCAGCAGCAGCATCACCACCAGCACCACCACCACCAGCACCTCCATCACCACCACCAGCAGCTGATCTTCCACCAGCACCAGCAGCTGATCTTCAACCACCACCAGCAGCAGCAGCTGATCCTCAGCAGCCGCCCCACTCGCCGTGCGTGCGTGGGGTCCGCTCCTTCCCCTCATCACCACCACCAGCAGCAGCAGCAGCACCAGCAGCAGCTGATCTTCCACCAGCACCAGCATCACCACCAGCACCACCACCACCAGCAGCTGATCTTCCACCACCAGCAGCAGCTGATCTTCCACCACCACCAGCAGCTGATCCTCCTCCGCAGCCGCCCCACTCGCCGTGCGTGCGTGGGGTCCGCTCCTTCCCCTCATCACCACCACCATCACCACCAGCACCACCACCACCAGCACCTGATCTTCCAGCAGCAGCAGCAGCTGATCTTCCTCCACCAGCAGCACCTCATCCTCCGCAGCCGCCCCACTCGCCGTGCGTGCGTGGGGTCCGCTCCTTCCCCTCCTCCTTCCTCTTCTCGCTGGAGCTGCAGACGGCCCTGGGCTTCGGGGCCCGCGCGCCCAGCGGGGCCTGCGCCGGAGGCCTCGCCTGGACCGTCGCCTCCGTGGGCCTGGTGGCGGCCCAGTGCTTGTGGGGCCTCGCCGCCTCCTCCGTGCTGCTGGGCTGCGTCTTTGTACGCACGGCCACAGCGCGGAGCCGCGCGGGGACACTCCTCTTCAGCCGCAGGGCCGTCGTGGCGCTGAGGGACGGCCGCCTCTGCCTCATGGTGCGAGTGGCCGACCTCAGGGCGTCCATGATCGTCCGGGCCTCCGTGAAGATGCAGGTGACAGGGGGGTGAGGGAGAGAGACACAGGGAGAGAGAGAGACACAGGGAGAGAGAGACACAGGGAGAGAGAGAGAGACACAGGGAGAGAGAGAGAGACAGGGAGAGAGAGAGAGACACAGGGAGAGAGAGAGAGACAGGGAGAGAGAGAGAGACACAGGGAGAGAGAGAGAGACACAGGGAGAGAGAGAGAGACACAGGGAGAGAGAGAGAGACAGGGAGAGAGAGAGAGACACAGGGAGAGAGAGAGAGACACAGGGAGAGAGAGGGGGGTGAGGGGGAGAGACACAGGGAGAGAGAGAGAGAGAGACAGGGAGAGAGAGAGACACAGGGAGAGAGAGAGACACAGGGAGAGTGATGGAGAGACAGAGTGAGAGGGGGGTGAGGGGGAGAGACACAGGGAGAGAGAGACACAGGGAGAGAGAGACACAGGGAGAGAGAGACACACAGGGAGAGAGAGAGAGACACAGGGAGAGAGAGAGACACAGGGAGAGAGAGACACAGGGAGAGAGAGAGAGACACAGGGAGAGAGAGACACAGGGAGAGAGAGAGAGACACAGGGAGAGAGAGACACAGGGAGAGAGAGAGACACAGGGAGAGAGAGACACACAGGGAGAGAGAGAGACACAGAGTGAGAGGGGGGTGAGGGGGAGAGACACAGGGAGAGAGAGAGACACAGGGAGAGAGAGAGACACAGGGAGAGAGAGACACAGGGAGAGAGAGACACAGGGAGAGAGAGAGACACAGGGAGAGAGACAGAGAGTGACAGGGGGGTGAGGGGGAGAGACACAGGGAGAGAGAGAGAGAGAGACACAGGGAGAGAGAGAGACACAGGGAGAGAGAGAGAGACAGGGAGAGAGAGAGACACAGAGTGAGAGGGGGGTGAGGGGGAGAGACACAGGGAGAGAGAGAGAGAGACACAGGGAGAGTGATGGAGAGACAGAGTGAGAGGGGGGTGAGGGGGAGAGATACAGGGAGAGAGAGAGAGACACAGAGAGAGAGACACACAGGGAGAGAGAGAGACACAGAGAGAGAGAGAGACAGGGAGAGAGAGAGACACAGGGAGAGAGAGAGACACAGGGAGAGAGAGAGACACAGAGAGAGACACAGGGAGAGAGAGAGAGACAGAGAGTGAGAGAGAGACACAGGGAGAGAGAGAGAGACACAGGGAGAGAGAGACACAGGGAGAGAGAGAGAGACACAGGGAGAGAGAGACACAGGGAGAGAGAGAGAGACACAGGGAGAGAGAGACACAGGGAGAGAGAGAGACACAGAGTGAGAGGGGGGTGAGGGGGAGAGACACAGGGAGAGAGAGACACAGGGAGAGAGAGAGAGACACAGGGAGAGAGAGACACAGGGAGAGAGAGAGACACACGGAGAGAGAGAGAGAGACACAGGGAGAGAGAGAGACACAGGGAGAGAGAGACACACAGGGAGAGAGAGAGAGACACAGGGAGAGAGAGAGACACAGGGAGAGAGAGACACAGGGAGAGAGAGAGAGACACAGGGAGAGAGAGAGAGAGACACAGAGAGAGAGGGGGGTGAGGGGGAGAGACACAGAGACAGAGAGTGAAAGAGAGAGACACAGAGAGAGTGAGAGAGTGATGGAGAGTGAGAGAGTGAGAGAGTGAGAGAGAGAGAGTGAGAGAGTGAGAGTGTGAGAGAGAGAGTGAGAGTGTGAGAGTGTGAGAGAGAGAGACAGGGAGAGAGAGAGAGACAGAGAGTGTGAGAGAGACAGTGAGTGAGTGAGACTTTGAGTGAGACTTTGACTTTCGACTGCCTCTATTCAGGCTTCCACCTGCTATTGCAGTGGATCCACAGTGCATCGGACCATGGTCCGGGCAGCAAACGGTGATGGGGGGAGGGGAAAAAAACCCCGGCACTGGGCCGTGGCTCACTCGCCGTCACCTGCAGCGTCCCGTACACGGGAACAAAAAACCTCTTCTCAAACGACGCTCGACCGGGCATCATCCACGCCAAGCTTATGGGTGGGTGGGTGGGGGAGGAGGAGGGGGTAGTCCCAGCTAAAAACAGCAACAAACGACGACGACACCGGTCAAGCACGTCAACACACGCACGAACGACCGACGGCACAACCGGTGCACACAAGCACGGCGCTCCGTAGCGCGGATCGGGGCGAGAGTTACACCACAGCCTCCGCTCATCCACGCGTGCGCACAGGAAATAGAGAAAACGCAATCCTCGACAAACACACACACACACACGCACACACACACACACACGCACACACACACACACGCACACACACACACCCCACACACACACACGCACACACACACACACACACACGCACACACACACACGCACACACACACACGCACACACACGCACACACACACACGCACACACACACGCACACACACACACACACACGCACACACACACACACACACGCACACACACACACACACGCACACACACACGCACGCCTCGCAAGTCCACGCTCGCACCACACCGCCGGAGGGAGCCTCGGCTCGCACGACGTGCGGGCGGGCACCGGGAGCGTTCGAAAAGTAAAAGTGAGCGTGCCGTCCGTGACGGTACGCGGGGCCTGGCCGGCCCCCCGCACCGCTCGAGGAAGCCGGCCGGCCGCCGTGCCCTCGGCGGAGACGTCGCGATATTCATGCAGCACCGCCACCGAGGAGCGGCTGCACGTCGGCGACACCCTGCAATTTCTTTTTGCGTGTCTTGTAGATAGCCATTATTCAGCTCTGCGCGATGGCAAAGTTCGCCAAGCGGTGCCGCCTGCTTGTCAGGTAAGGCACCCCCTTGTAGAAGGGGACCCCCAGTTTCACAAAAGACGTTCCCAGGAGCTGAAACAGCGGGCCGAGCCGTGGGCATTCCAGATGCTGGTGAGCCAGGTCCTCGACCGCGCCGAGGAACCCGCACAGGTCCGACGCCCCGGGGGTGACCTTGCTGAGCCACGCGGCAGAGGGCGGCGTCCAGCGCGCGAGCACTCCGTCGGAGGTCTCCGCAGCGCTTCGTTACGGGGGACTTGTAGAAAACACTCCCACTGGGGGTGAGCCTCGGGCGAGGGGGAGGGAAATGAGCCCTCCATTTGATGTCCGGCGCGTCCGCCAACTCCGTGCGGCGGAGCGCCTTCACGCAGCATTCGTAGAGAGAGCCTTCATCGGATCGCCCTCGAGGCCCACGGCCTTCTTGCATCGATCGAGCCGCAGCAGCTTTCCGGCATCGCAGCGCCCCGGGGGACTGCGATGCCGGAGAGGAGGAGCCCCGGGAAGGGCGGGGGGGGGGGTAGAGGTGGGTGAGTGGGTGGGGGGGGGGGGGGGGTGGGTGAGGGGGGGTCGGGGTGGGGGGTCCCTCGGTGCCACGATCCAAGTCCCAATAGGACCAGCTCCCTGTCGTACCCCAGGCGCCCGCCCGCACCCCTCAACAGGCTGAGGGGCCCCAGCGCTGTCCGCTGGGGTCCCTCCCGTTGGTACAACAGGCGCCCGCCCGCACCCCCTCAGCCTGAAAAACACAAACTTTGGCGGTGACATCCACCAGGCCCTGACCGCCCTCTCGCACCGGCAGGTGGAGCACGCCCGGCTTCGTCCAGCGCTTACCGCACCAGACGAGGTGGACGAGCGAGCGGCCCGTCCCCAGGAGCAACCAGTCGGGGGGCTGAAGGACTTTAGCCCGGTGCCATAAGACAGACGCCACCAGGCTGTTTTCCCACCAGCACCCGCCCCCTGAAGGACAGTAGCGGGGCCAGCTTCGTCCACGCCGAACAGCTTGGCCTCAAACGCTTCTTTCAGCTCGGTCCAGTTTCGTTCAAACGCCCGCGGTCTGCCCAGGTGAACCCCCCCGGGGTACCGCACACCCTCGTCCTGCCACGTGACTCCCCCTGGGGAGGAGCACGGAGCGCACGACGCCCCGCGCTCCCAGGCAGAGGGCCTCGCTCTTCTCCCCGTTGACCTTGGCGCCGGACGCTCGTTCGAATAGTCGCCACAGCCCTGCGGAGCGTTGAGATGGTCTCTTGCGTCGCCGACCACCACGCACCCGTCATGTGCATAGGCCGACACCTTATAGCGACGTTCCCCGGGCAAAAACTTCCTTCAGCCTCCGCACCAGCGGCTCAACGCTCAGGGCATAGAGGAGCCCTGGGAGCGGGCGCCCCTGCCTGATGCCCCTCGTCACAGGGAAGGGGGCACCGAGCCACTGATTTGTCTTTACCAGACTACACGTGCCCTCATACAGGAGCTTCACATATGCGCGAAAAGAAACTGTCCGAAACCCAGAGAGGTGAGCGGCTTCCCCAGGTACGTGCGGTCAACTCTATCAAAGGCCTTTTCTAAGTCCATAAAGAGGAGGCCTGATTCCTTGCCATGAAAATCAGCGAGAGATGTTGCATCCCTGACCGTGCTGATGTTGTCGTAAATGCACCGGCCAGGGATGCAATAAGTCTGTTCAGGGCCAACCAGTTTCCCCACAACCGCTTTGAGCCGATTCGCCGCGACCTTGGCGAAGACCTTGTAGTCTACGCACAAGAGGGAGACGGGCCGCCAGTTCTCAATGCGCCCCAAGTCCCCCTTCTTGGGCAGCAGCGTGACCACGGCCCTCCTGCAGCTCAGCGGGAATTCTCCCTCTCGCAGGCTCCCCTCCGGCACCCCCGAGCAGGTGGGGGGGGCAATCTCATTCCAGAAGACTTCATAAAACTCTACCGGCAAACCATCCAACCCCGGGGCCCTGCCAGTCGCGAGGCCACTCGCCGCGTCGGTGAGCTCGGTCAGAGCGACGGGGCCGTCTAGACGCTCGCTATCCGAGACCTCCAGAGCGGGGCCTCCTTCCAGTAGATCCCGCACAGCCTCGTTATCTACCACGCCCTCGCTGAAAAGCCCAGCATAGCAATCCCTCGCCACCCTGGCAATCTCGCCCTCCTCCGTGGCCTCCTCCCCCGTCGCGGTGCCTAGTCCCCCAAAATTGCTCCTCCCTACCGGGGGTTTTTTTTTTGCCAGCCCACAAAAATATTTAGAGGGCGCGTCCATGCGCATTAAAAAAATGATGCAATCTATTCCCGCATTAAAAAAACCACAGTCGTGGGCCTGCTGGTCCGTGACTGCTCGGAGAGGCCGCTGCTTCCCCGGGAGCACCATCCCCTTGTCATCGGGGTCGCCATCGCCGCTGCCGCTCTGGACCAAGCCCAACTCTCCCTCGAGCAGCAGCAACTCACGCCCCAGCCGTCGCTCCGTCGCTCCGTCTCCGCCCCGACGGTCGCACAGTGGCCCCGCAGCCGCAGGCAGAGGGCCTCTGACCTGGGCCTTTGTGTCCTCCCACCACTGCCGTGCCGAGCCGAAGGCACTCTCTTGCCGGCCTCCCAACGGGCCCTGAATGTCGCCTCGAACCCTTCATTGTCCAGCAGCCGCACGTCCAGCTTCCAGTAGGCGCTGCGGCGCTCTGCCCCGGAGAACCGCAGCCGCGCACTCGCGGGGTGATGGTCTGAAAAACCGGACGGGGTGATGGTGCTGTCGCCGAGCAGAGAGACAGAGAGAGACAGGGAGAGTGAGAGAGTGAGATGGAGAGAGGGTGAGAGAGTGAGAGTGAGAGAGAGTGAGAGAGAGAGAGTGAGAGAGAGAGGGGGTGAGGGGGAGAGAGAGAGCGTGAGAGAGTGAGAGAGAGAGTGAGAGAGTGAGTGAGAGAGAGAGTGAGAGAGTGAGTGAGTGAGAGAGACAGGGAGAGTGAGAGAGTGAGATGGAGAGAGTGAGAGAGGGTGAGAGACAGGGAGAGAGGGTGAGAGTGAGATGGAGAGAGTGAGAGAGGGTGAGAGACAGGGAGAGAGGGTGAGAGTGAGATGGAGAGAGTGAGAGAGGGTGAGAGACAGGGAGAGAGGGTGAGAGTGAGATGGAGAGAGTGAGAGAGGGTGAGAGAGAAAGAGTGAGAGAGGGCGTGAGAGACAGAGAGTGAGGGAGTGAGTGAGTGAGTGTGAGAGTGAGATGGAGAGAGTGAGAGAGGGTGAGAGAGGAAGAGTGAGAGAGAGAGAGAGCGTGAGAGACAGAGAGTGAGAGAGAGGGGGTGAGGGGGAGAGAGAGAGAGAGAGTGAGAGAGTGAGATGAGAGAGAGGGTGACAGAGAGAGAGAGTGAGGAGAGTAAGGAAGAGAGTGAGAGTGTGATGGAGAGTGTGAGAGAGTGAGAGAGGAAGAGTGAGAGTGAGAGAGAGAGAGCGTGAGAGACAGAGAGTGAGAGAGAGAGGGGGAGAGCGTGAGAGAGTGAGAGAGTGAGTGAGAGAGTGAGATGAGAGAGAGGGTGACAGAGAGAGAGAGTGAGGAGAGTAAGGGAGAGAGTGAGAGTGTGATGGAGAGTGTGAGAGAGTGAGAGAGTGAGATGGAGAGTGAGAGAGTGAGAGAGACAGAGAGTGAGATGAGAGAGAGTGAGAGAGTGAGAGAGTGAGATGAGAGAGAGTGAGAGACAGAGAGACAGACAGAGAGTGAGAGACACAGACAGAGAGTGAGAGGGTGAGAGAGAGAGAGTGAGAGACACAGACAGAGAGTGAGAGAGTGAGATGAGAGAGAGTGAGACAGAGAGTGAGAGACAGGGAGAGTGAGAGAGTGAGATGGAGAGAGTGAGAGAGGGTGAGAGAGAGAGAGAGAGCGTGAGAGACAGAGAGTGAGGGAGTGAGTGAGTGAGTGTGAGAGTGAGATGGAGAGAGTGAGAGAGGGTGAGAGAGGAAGAGTGAGAGAGAGAGAGAGCGTGAGAGACAGAGAGTGAGAGAGAGGGGGTGAGGGGGAGAGAGAGAGAGAGTGAGAGAGTGAGATGAGAGAGAGGGTGACAGAGAGAGAGAGGAAGAGTGAGAGTGAGAGAGAGAGTGAGAGTGTGATGGAGAGTGTGAGAGAGTGAGAGAGGAAGAGTGAGAGAGAGAGAGAGAGAGCGTGAGAGACAGAGAGTGAGAGAGAGAGGGGGTGAGGGGGAGAGCGTGAGTGAGTGAGAGAGTGAGATGAGAGAGAGGGTGACAGAGAGAGAGTGAGGAGAGTAAGGAAGAGAGTGAGAGTGTGATGGAGAGTGTGAGAGAGTGAGAGAGGAAGAGTGAGAGTGAGAGAGAGAGAGCGTGAGAGACAGAGAGTGAGAGAGAGAGGGGGAGAGCGTGAGAGAGTGAGAGGGTGAGTGAGTGAGAGAGTGAGATGAGAGAGAGGGTGACAGAGAGAGAGAGAGTGAGGAGAGTAAGGGAGAGAGTGAGAGTGTGATGGAGAGTGTGAGAGAGTGAGAGAGTGAGATGGAGAGTGAGAGAGTGAGAGAGACAGAGAGTGAGATGAGAGAGAGTGAGAGAGTGAGAGAGTGAGATGAGAGAGAGTGAGAGACAGAGAGACAGACAGAGAGTGAGAGACACAGACAGAGAGTGAGAGGGTGAGAGAGAGAGAGAGTGAGAGACACAGACAGAGAGTGAGAGAGTGAGATGAGAGAGTGTGAGAGACAGAGAGTGAGAGACAGGGAGAGTGAGAGAGTGAGATGGAGAGAGTGAGAGAGTGAGAGACAGAGTGAGAGAGTGAGAGACACATACAGAGAGTGAGAGAGTGAGACAGAGTGAGAGACAGAGAGACAGACAGAGAGTGAGATGAGAGAGAGTGAGAGACAGAGACACAGACAGAGAGTGAGAGACAGAGAGTGAGAGAGTGAGAGACACATACAGAGAGTGAGAGAGTGAGATGAGAGAGTGTGAGAGACAGAGAGACAGACAGAGAGTGAGATGAGAGAGTGTGAGAGACAGAGACACAGACAGAGAGTGAGAGAGTGAGATGAGAGAGAGTGAGACAGAGAGTGAGAGACAGAGAGTGAGAGAGAGAGTTAGGGTAGAGAGAGAGATAAGAGAGTGAGAGAGTGAGATGGAGAGTGAGAGAGTGAGAGAGAGACAGAGACAGAGAGTGAGAGACAGAGAAAGAGATGAGAGAGATAAGAGAGTGAGAGGAGAGTAAGAGAGAGACAGAGAGTGAGAGACAGAGAGAGAAAGGGAGAGAGAGATGAGAGAGAGTGAGAGACAGAGAGTGAGTGAGAGAGTGAGAGGGAGAGTAAGGGAGGGAGAGAGATAAGAGAGTGAGAGGAGAGTGAGGGAGAGAGAGATGAGAGAGAGTGAGACAAAGAGTGAGTGAGAGAGTGAGAGAGAGAGAGAGTGATGAGAGTGAGACAGAGAGTGAGTCAGAGAGAGTAAGGGAGAGAGAGATGAGAGAGAGTGAGAGACAGAGAGAGAGTGAGAGAGTGAGAGATGAGAGAGATAAGAGAGTGAGGGAGAGAGAGATAAGAGAGTGAGAGGAGAGTCATGGAGAGAGTGAGAGGAGTGTTAGGGTTAGGGGACTCCCCAGTGGTAGCCGTCCCTACGCATCACGAGGTGAACACCTCCACTGTCCGTGGGACTGTTCAGGCTTCTTGTGGTGCTGCTGATGACGATGATGACTCCGATGATGGTGACGATGACTCCATTGATGATGATGACGCTGATGACGATGAGACTGATGATGACGACGACGATGACGATGACTCCGATGGATCCGATGATGACGACGCTGATGATGACACCGATGGTAACGCCGACGATGATGATGGTGACACCGATGATGATGACGCTGCTGACGATGATGACACCAATGATGACGCCGCTGATGATGACACCGATGACGACGATGACGATGACGCCACTGATGATGATGACGCCACTGATGATGATGACGCTGCTGACGATGATGACACCGATGATGACGATGATGACGCCGCTGATGACGATGATGACGCCGCTGATGACGATGATGACGCCGCTGAAGATGACACCGATGACGACGATGATGATGACGCTGCTGACGACGATGACACCGATGATGACGATGACGACGATGATGACGCCACTGATGATGACACCGATGACGACGACGATGATGATGACACCGATGATGATGACGATGACGTCACTGATGACGACGACGACGATGACGCCGATGACGCCGCTGCGACTGTTGTCTCCAGGTGGTGGAGGGCTCGCGCACACAGGAGGGGGAGGTGGACCTCCTGCACCAGGTGGACTTGAGGGTGGAGGGTGGTGGTGGTGGTGGTGGTGGTGCTGGGGGTTCCTCCTCCTCCTCCTCCTCGTCGTCGATTCTCTTCCTCGTGGCTCCCATCGTCGTGGTTCACCCCATCGGCCCGGCCAGCCCCCTCTACCGCCTGTCTGCCGCACAGCTCGCCGCGTGAGTTGCCATGGTTACCACCCCGGTTACCACCCCGGTTACCACCCCGGTTACCACCCCGGTTACCACCCCGGTTACCACCCCGGTTACCACCCCGGTTACCACAATTTCACGATTACGACGACGGTTAACGCAATTGTGACGATTGCCAGGCAATATCGGGTCACCACCACCACCACCACCACCACGTGGTTCACCACCACCATCACGTGGTTCATCACCACCACCACGTGGTTCATCACCACCACCACCACCACATGGTTCATCACCACCACCACCACATGGTTCACCACCACCACGTGGTTCACCACCACCACCACCACGTGGTTCATCACCACCACCACGTGGTTCATCACCACCACCACCACATGGTTCATCACCACCACCACGTGGTTCATCACCACCATCACGTGGTTCATCACCACCACCACGTGGTTCATCACCACCACCACCACCACATGGTTCATCACCACCACCACCACATGGTTCACCACCACCACGTGGTTCACCACCACCACCACCACCACGTGGTTCATCACCACCACCACGTGGTTCATCACCACCACCACCACATGGTTCATCATCACCACCACCACATGGTTCATCACCACCACCACGTGGTTCATCACCACCACCACCACCACCACGTGGTTCACCACCACCACCACCACGTGGTTCATCACCACCACCACGTGGTTCATCACCACCACCACCACGTGGTTCACCACCACCACGTGGTTCACCACCACCACATGGTTCATCACCACCACCACCACGTGGTTCATCACCGCCATCACGTGGTTCATCACCACCACCACGTGGTTCATCACCACCACCACCACCATCACGTGGTTCACCACCACCACGTGGTTCACCACCACCACCACCACGTGGTTCACCACCACCACCACCACCACCACGTGGTTCATCACCACCACCACGTGGTTCATCACCACCACCACGTGGTTCATCACCACCACCACCACCACATGGTTCATCACCACCACCACCACATGGTTCACCACCACCACGTGGTTCACCACCACCACCACCACGTGGTTCATCACCACCACCACGTGGTTCATCACCACCACCACGTGGTTCATCACCACCACCACCACATGGTTCATCATCACCACCACCACATGGTTCATCACCACCACTACGTGGTTCATCACCACCACCACGTGGTTCATCACCACCACCACCACATGGTTCACCACCACCACGTGGTTCACCACCACCACCACCACCACGTGGTTCATCACCACCATCACGTGGTTCATCACCACCACCACGTGGTTCATCACCACCACATGGTTCATCACCACCACCACGTGGTTCATCACCACCACCACCACCACCACGTGGTTCATCACCACCACATGGTTCACCACCACCACGTGGTTCACCACCACCACCACCACGTGGTTCATCACCACCACCACGTGGTCCATCACCACCACCACCACGTGGTTCATCACCACCACCATCACGTGGTTCATCACCATCACCACGTGGTTCATCACCACCACCATGTGGTTCATCACCACCACCACGTGGTTCATCACCACCATCACCACGTGGTCCATCACCACCATCACCACGTGGTTCATCACCACCACCACCACGTGATTCATCACCACCACCACCACGTGGTTCATCACCACCACCACCACCACCACCACCACGTGGTTCATCACCACCACCACGTGGTTCACCACCACCACCACCAACACCACCACCACCACCACGTGGTTCATCACCACCACCACCACCACCACGTGGTTCATCACCACCACCACCACGTGGTTCATCACCACCACGTGGTTCATCACCACCACGTGGTTCATCACCACCACCACCACGTGGTTCACCACCACCACCACCACGTGGTTCACCACCACCACGTGGTTCACCACCACCACGTGGTTCATCACCACCACCACGTGGTTCATCACCACCATCACCACGTGGTTCATCACCACCACCACCACCACCACGTGGTTCATCACCACCATCACCACGTGGTTCATCACCACCATCACCACGTGGTTCATCACCACCATCACCACGTGGTTCATCACCGCCACCACCATCACCACGTGGTTCATCACCACCACCACGTGGTTCATCACCGCCACCACGTGGTTCATCACCACCACCACCACCACCACCACGTGGTTCATCACCACCATCACCACGTGGTTCATCACCGCCACCACCATCACCACGTGGTTCATCACCACCACCACGTGGTCCATCACCACGTGGTTCATCACCACCACCACCACCACGTGGTTCATCACCACCACCACGTGGTTCATCACCACCACCACGTGGTTCATCACCACCACCACCACGTGGTTCATCACCGCCACCACGTGGTTCACCACCACCATCACGTGGTTCATCACCATCACCACGTGGTTCATCACCATCACCACGTGGTTCATCACCATCACCACGTGGTTCATCACCATCACCACTTGGTTCATCACCGCCACCACGTGGTTCATCACCGCCACCACGTGGTTCATCATCACCATCACCACGTAGTTCATCACCACCACGTGGTTCACCACCACCACCACCACCACGTGGTTTATCATCACCACGTGGTTCACCACCACCACCACCACGTGGTTCACCACCACCACCACGTGGTTCACCACCACCACCACCACGTGGTTCATCACCACCACCACGTGGTTCATCACCACCACCACGTGGTTCATCACCACCACCACGTGGTTTATCATCACCACGTGGTTCACCACCACCACGTGGTTCATCATCACCACGTGGTTCATCACCACCACGTGGTTCACCATCACCACCACGTGGTTCACCATCACCACCACGTGGTTCACCACCACCACCACGTGGTTCACCACCACCACGTGATGATGCCCCCTGCCCCCTACCCCCCAGGCACCCCCAGTTGGAGGTGGTGGTGTTGCTTCAGGGAGTGGTGGAGTCTACCGGCACCACCACCCAGGCCCGGGCCTCCTACCGCCCCGCGGACATCGCCTGGGGTCACCGCTTCGTGCCCATGTCCAGCGGGGGAGACACGCGGGGACACCACGGGGGAGACACGCGGAGACACGGGGGAGACACGCGGAGACACCACGGGGGAGACACGTGGAGACACCACAGGGGAGACACGCGGGGACACGGGGGAGACACGCGGAGACACGGGGGAGACACGCGGAGACACGGGGGAGACACGCGGGGACACGGGGGAGACACGTGGGGACACGGGGGAGACACGTGGGGACACGGGGGACACGTGGGAGACACGCTGGGACACGTGGGAGACACGCGGAGACACGGGGGAGACACGCGGAGACACCACGGGGGAGACACGCGGAGACACGGGGGACACGTGGGAGACACGCTGGGACACGGGGGAGACACGTGGGGACACGGGGGACACGTGGGAGACACGCTGGGACACGTGGGAGACACGCGGAGACACGGGGGAGACACGCGGAGACACGGGGGAGACACGTGGGGACACGGGGGACACGTGGGAGACACGCTGGGACACGGGGGAGACACGTGGGGACACGGGGGACACGTGGGAGACACGCTGGGACACGTGGGAGACACGCGGAGACACGGGGGAGACACGCGGAGACACGGGGGAGACACGTGGGGACACGGGGGACACGTGGGAGACACGCTGGGACACGTGGGAGACACGCGGAGACACGGGGGAGACACGCGGAGACACGGGGGAGACACGTGGGGACACGGGGGACACGTGGGAGACACGCTGGGACACGTGGGAGACACGCGGAGACACGTGGGAGACACGCGGAGACACGGGGGAGACACGCGGAGACACGGGGGAGACACGTGGGGACACGGGGGACACGGGGGAGACACGCGGAGACACCACGTGGGAGACACGCGGGGCTGGAAGCAGCATGGAGGAGGAGTTTGTGATGACGACGATGACGACGATGATGATGACGTGAGAGGGAGCTCGCGGATGGACGAGGATGTGGAGGAGAGGGAGGAGGAGGAGGAGGCTGATGACGTTGACCACGTGGACGATGACGTTGACCACAGTGTGGACGATGACGTTGACCACGTGGACGATGACGTTGACCACGTGGACGATGATGTTGACCACGTGACCGATGATGTTGACCACGTGACCGATGACGTTGACCACGTGACGGATGACGTTGACCACGTGGACGATGACGTTGACGACGTTGGCCGGGGTGTCGGCGACGAGCTGAGCTCCTGCGACGAGGTGGGGGGCTCGGACAGCGACGAGGTGGGGGGCTCGGACAGCGACGAGGTGGGGGGCTCTGACAGCGACGAGGTGGGGGGCTCGGACAGCGACGAGGTGGGGGCTCTGACAGCGACGAGGGTCGCTTCGTCGTCGACTTCTCAAACTTCTCGCGCACGAGCGCCGTGCCGACCCCGCGGTGCAGCGCCCGGCAGTGGGACCTCGCCAAGAGGGAGACAAAGACGGCCGGGAGGGAGACAAAGACGGCCGGGAGGGAGACAAAGAGATGAAGTAGTGTGTGTGTAGTGTGTGTGTGGTGTGTGTGTGTGGTGTGTGTGGTGTGTAGTGTGTGTGTGTGTTGTGTGTGGTGTGTGTGTGTGGTGTGTGTGTGGTGTGTGTGTGGTGTGTGTGGTGTGTGTGGTGTGTAGTGTGTGTGTGTGGTGTGTGTGTGTGTGGTGTGTGTGTGTGGTGTGTGTGTGTGGTGTGTGTGTGTGTGGTGTGTGTAGTGTGTGTAGTGTGTGTGTGGTGTGTGTGGTGTGTGTGTGTGGTGTGGTGTGTGTAGTGTGGTGTGTGTGTGGTGTGTGTGTGTGTGGCGTGTGTGTGTGTGGTGTGTGTAGTGTGTGTTGTGTGTGTGTGGTGTGTGTGGTGTGTGTGTGTGTGGTGTGGTGTGTGTGTGGTGTGGTGTGTGTGTGGTGTGTGTGTGTGTGTGTGTGTGTGTGTGTGTGTGGTGTGTGTGGTGTGTGTGTGGTGTGTGTGTGGTGTGGTGTGTGTGTGGTGTGTGGTGTGTGTAGTGTGGTGTGTGTGGTGTGTGTGTGGTGTGTGTGTGGTGTGGTGTGGTGTGTGGTGTGGTGTGGTGTGGTGTGTGTGTGTGGTGTGTGTGTAGTGTGTGTGTAGTGTGTGTAGTGTGTGTGTGGTGTGTGTGTGTGTGGTGTGTGTGTGTGTGGTGTGTATGTGTGGTGTGTGTGTGGTGTGGTGTGGTGTGTGTGTAGTGTGTGGTGTGGTGTGTGTGTCGTGTGTGTGTGGTGTGTGTGGTGTGTGTGGTGTGTGTGGTGTGTGGCGTGTGTGTGGTGTGTGTGTGTAGTGTGTGTGTGGTGTGTGTGTGGTGTGTGTGTAGTGTGTGTGTGTAGTGTGTGTGTGTGGTGTGTGTGTGGTGTGTGTGTAGTGTGTGTGTGGTGTGTGTGTGGTGTGTGTGGTGTGTGTGGTGTGGTGTGTGTGGTGTGGTGTGTGTGGGGTGTGTGTGTAGTGTGTGTGTAGTGTGTGTGTAGTGTGTGGTGGTGTGTGGTGTGTGTGTGGTGTGTGTGCGTGGTGTGTGTGTAGTGTGTGTGTAGTGTGTGTAGTGTGGTGTGTGGTGTGTGTGTGGTTGTGTGTGTGGATGGGTGTGTGTGTGTGTGTGGTTGTGTGTGGTTGTAACAACTACAGGGTCATCTCACTCCTCAGTGTGCCGGGAAAGGTTCTGGCAAGGATTATTCAACATCGCCTTGCCAGGCACGCTGAGGAGAGGCTTGCGGAGCCCCAATGCGGTTTCAGAAAGGGCGGTCCTGCACAGATGCCATATTTTCTGTCCGTCTGCTACAGCAGAGGTGTAGGGAATTCCAGCAAGACCTACATCTCTGCTTTATTGACCTGGTCAAGGCCTATGATACCATCAGTAGGCCTGGGCTCTGGGATGTTCTTCTGCTCACAATCATGAATGTGGCCTCAAAGTGCACCTAGCCTGGCACAGGCACCATGTTAACGTCACCGTCACTGAATGGTGAATTCCGGGTATCGTGTACAGACACCGCTGTGCTAACCACTGCACCACCGCTCCCCACAGTGTACGCACACACCCGTACACACACACGTACACACACACGTGCACACACGTACACACACGGTGTATGCACTCGTTAGGAACTGCCTTTAGTAACAAGCCAATATGAATAACTTTATTGAGAGCAAGGTTACACCTTAAGACAGGAGTTTGGAAACAACTTCACAATTCAACATTGGAGACTTGCGTCTGTGTGTCTCTGTGTGACTCGCTGTGACCGTGTCTCTGTGTGACCGTGTCTCTGTGTGACTCACTGTGACCGTGTCTCTGTGTGAATGTGACCGTGTCTCTGTGTGACTGTGTCTCTGTGTGACTCGCTGTGACCGTGTCTGTGTGTGACTCACTGTGACCGTGTCTCTGTGTGACTCACTGTGACCGTGTCTCTGTGTGACTCACTGTGACCGTGTCTCTGTGTGACTCACTGTGACCGTGTCTCTGTGTGACTCACTGTGACCGTGTCTCTGTGTGACTCACTGTGACCGTGTCTCTGTGTGACTCACTGTGACCGTGTCTCTGTGTGACTCACTGTGACCGTGTCTCTGTGTGACTCACTGTGACCGTGTCTCTGTGTGACTCACTGTGACCGTGTCTCTGTGTGACTCACTGTGACCGTGTCTCTGTGTGACTCACTGTGACCGTGTCTCTGTGTGACTCACTGTGGCCGTGTCTCTGTGTGACTCACTGTGGCCGTGTCTCTGTGTGACCGTGTCTCTGTGTGACTGTGACCGTGTCTCTGTGTGACTGTGACCGTGTCTCTGTGTGACTCACTGTGGCCGTGTCTCTGTGTGACTCACTGTGGCCGTGTCTCTGTGTGACTCACTGTGACCGTGTCTCTGTGTGACTGTGACCGTGTCTGTGTGACTCACTGTGACCGTGTCTCTGTGACTCACTGTGACCGTGTCTCTGTGACTCACTGTGACCGTGTCTCTGTGTGACTCACTGTGACCGTCTCTCTGTGTGACTCACTGTGACCGTGTCTCTGTGTGACTCACTGTGACCGTGTCTCTGTGTGACTGTGACCGTGTCTCTGTGTGACTCACTGTGACCGTGTCTCTGTGAGACTCACTGTGACCGTGTCTCTGTGTGAGTGGCTGTGACCGTGTCTCTGTGTGGCTCGCTGTGACCGTGTCTCTGTGTGACTCACTGTGACCGTGTCTCTGTGTGACTCACTGTGACCGTGTCTCTGTGAGACTCACTGTGACCGTGTCTCTGTGTGACTGTGACCGTGTCTCTGTGTGACTCACTGTGGCCGTGTCTCTGTGTGACTCACTGTGACCGTGTCTCTGTGTGACTCACTGTGACCGTGTCTCTGTGAGACTCACTGTGACCGTGTCTCTGTGTGACTCACTGTGACCGTGTCTGTGTGTGACTCACTGTGACCGTGTCTCTGTGTGACTGTGACCGTGTCTGTGTGACTCACTGTGACCGTGTCTCTGTGTGACTCACTGTGACCGTGTCTCTGTGTGACTCACTGTGACCGTGTCTCTGTGAGACTCACTGTGACCGTGTCTCTGTGTGACTCACTGTGGCCGTGTCTCTGTGTGACTCACTGTGACCGTGTCTCTGTGTGACTCACCGTGACCGTGTCTCTGTGTGACTCACTGTGACCGTGTCTCTGTGTGACTGTGACCGTGTCTGTGTGTGACTCACTGTGACCGTGTCTCTGTGACTCACCGTGACCGTGTCTCTGTGTGACTCACCGTGACCGTGTCTCTGTGTGACTCACCGTGACCGTGTCTCTGTGTGACTCACTGTGACCGTGTCTCTGTGTGACCGTGTCTCTGTGTGACTGTGACCGTGTCTCTGTGTGACTGTGACCGTGTCTCTGTGTGAGTGACTGTGACCGTTTCTCTGTGTGACCGTGTCTCTGTGTGACTCACTGTGACCGTGTCTCTGTGTGAGTGACTGTGACCGTTTCTCTGTGTGGCTCGCTGTGACCGTGTCTCTGTGTGACTCACTGTGACCGTGTCTCTGTGTGACTGTGACCGTGTCTCTGTGTGACTGTGACCGTGTCTCTGTGAGACTCACTGTGACCGTGTCTCTGTGTGACTCACTGTGACCGTGTCTCTGTGTGACCGTGTCTCTGTGTGACTCACTGTGACCGTGTCTCTGTGTGACTCACTGTGACCGTGTCTCTGTGTGACTGTGACCGTGTCTCTGTGTGACCGTGTCTCTGTGTGACTCACTGTGACCGTGTCTCTGTGTGACCGTGTCTCTGTGTGACTGTGACCGTGTCTCTGTGTGACTCACTGTGACCGTGTCTCTGTGTGACTGTGACCGTGTCTCTGTGTGACTCACTGTGACCGTGTCTGTGTGTGACTCACCGTGACCGTATCTCTGTGTGACTCACTGTGACCGTGTCTCTGTGTGACTGTGACCGTGTCTCTGTGTGACTCACTGTGACCGTGTCTCTGTGTGACTCACTGTGACCGTGTCTCTGTGTGACTGTGACCGTGTCTCTGTGTGACTCACTGTGACCGTGTCTCTGTGTGACTCACTGTGGCCGTGTCTCTGTGTGACTCACTGTGGCCGTGTCTCTGTGTGACTCACTGTGACCGTGTCTCTGTGTGACTCACTGTGACCGTATCTCTGTGTGACTCACTGTGACCGTGTCTCTGTGTGACTGTGACCGTGTCTCTGTGTGACTCACTGTGACCGTGTCTCTGTGTGACTCACTGTGACCGTGTCTGTGTGTGACTCACTGTGACTGTGTCTCTGTGTGACTCACTGTGACCGTGTCTCTGTGTGACTCACTGTGACCGTGTCTCTGTGTGACTCACTGTGACCATGTCTGTGTGTGACTCACTGTGACCGTGTCTCTGTGTGACTGTGACCGTGTCTGTGTGTGACTCACTGTGACCGTGTCTGTGTGTGACTCACTGTGACCGTGTCTGTGTGTGACTCACTGTGACCGTATCTCTGTGAGACTCACTGTGACCGTGTCTCTGTGTGACCGTGTCTGTGTGTGACTCACTGTGGCCGTGTTCTATTAACATTATGCTACCTATGTGTGTTATGGTTTCACGCTACGTGTGTATTTGTAATAGATGCTATGTATAGGTATACCAAGCATTGGGTACACGTGTGTATTAAACTCTGTACACTGCTGGTAGCTTGTGTGTGTCTGTGTGTGTGTGTCGTCTTCTCGGCCACGGTCATTCCCTCCCTCTTGCAAAACGTGGACCCCCCCTAATGGAACATCTTCGCCGGTTAGAAACATTTAGGCTGGCCTGCCTACGATCCATCCTGGGTTTAACCAGACTGGATTGTGTGAGGAGCTCACAAATCCTTGAAAGATCTGGGCAAGGTCCCATCGGTGAGCTCCTCCGGCGGGCAAGGCTGCGATGGCTGGGTCATGTAGCCCGCATGCCCAGCCACCGCATGCCGAAACAGCTTTTGTTCGGCCGGATCGAGGGGGCTAAGCGGGCACGGCACGGGCTAGAGAAGAGATGGAGTGAAGTGGTGCAGGAGGACGTGGAGCTGAGTGGACTTGCCGATGATTGGTACCAGCGGTGTCAAGATCGGCCTCTGTGGAGGAGGCTCGTGAAGGATGCTACTGGGCAGTTGGAGGCAGTCGCCCTCCAACAACAACGGAGGGCGGAGGAGCGACGCTCACAACAATGAGCGGAGCGCCGGGTGGCTAAAGCACAGCAGGTTGGCACAGTAGGGGGCACAGGTGGTGCATCAGCCAGTCATCTCAGTCAGTCGACCCGTGGCACCTGGGTCTGCCCCGTGACCTGCCAGCGGGCGTGCGACACTCCACGTGGCCTCAAGGTGCACATAGCCTAGCACAAGCGTCGTGGTGACGTCACCGCCCCTTAGTGGCGAATGTCGTGTGTGTGTCTAGGTCGACTCAGCTTCAAATGAGTACCTGGTGCGGTGTGTAAACATTGCCACTTGGGAGACAAAGGCGGTCGGGCGTGGTGCTGGCCACCCACCCCCTCGTGTACCGTTCCGGCCTTCATAGGTGCTCGCTAACAGCACTTGCCCCTACAGTCTGTTAAGGCTATATGGGGGATCTTTGTGTGTGGGGAGTGGTGGGTGTAGTGGTTAGCGCTACGCTGCGCTACGAACCCGGCGACCCGAGTTCGATTCCCGCTCACGGCCAACACCGCCAGTGACGATAATCTGACCCGATTCTGGGCCTCTCCTAGGTCGACTCAGCCTCAAATGAGTACCTGGTGCTGTGTGTAGTAAACATCGCTAGCACTGGGGAGACAAAGGCGGCCGTGCGTGGTGCTGATAGCCACCCACCCCCTCTGTGTGTGCCACAGTGCCGGTAGCCTTCACAGGTGCTGCTACTCACAGCACTTGCCCCTACAGCCTGCTAAGCCTACACGGGGAGCTTTGTCTTTGTATCACAGCTGCTGTGTCCACAGGAGTCGGTCCGTTCGCTCCAACATTGTCTGGATCAGCAATCTGAAACATCATCAACGTGAACAACATCAACAACATCATCAACAACATCATCAACATCATCATTAACATCATCAACATCATCAGCAACATCAGCAACATCATCATCAACATCATCATTAACATCATCAACATCATCAGCAACATCATCAACGTGAACATCATCAACATCAACATCTACATCATCAACATCATCAGCAACATCATCAACATCATCATCAACATCATCGTGAACATCATCAACAACATCAACATTATCATCAACGTGAACATCATCAACGTGAACATCAACAACATCATCATCAACATCATCAACAACATCAACATCATCAACAACATCATCATCGTGAACATCATCAACAACAACATCAACAACATCATCATCGTGAACATCATCATGATCAACATCATCGTCGTGAACATCATCAACAACATCATCAACATCATCGTCGTGAACATCACCATCGTCACCACCCCCATGACCGTCCCACCTCTGGGTCTGCTCAGCACGAACTCACCGCTGCCGGTGCTCGGCCATCCTCAGCGCCTCCCACCGGCGGAGGAAGTCCCGGTCTCCGCTGGTCTCCTCGCGGAGCTCCACCAGGGGGACTCCAGCCTCGGCGAGCAGAGCCTCAGCACGGAGCAGCCCGGCCCGGAATGAGAGGGCCACCGCAACCCCGCTCACCGGGGTCCCTTTGAGGGCCCCCTTCACAGCCGGGGTCTCAATCGCCGGGGTCCCTTTAAGGGTCCCCTCTACGAGCGGAGCCCCTTTAAGAGCACCAGCGCCCGGTTGCTGTGGCCCGGCCGCAACTCCGCCGAGGCTCCGGGGGTGCCGCTCCCGGGTCCCTTTGAGGCCTCCATCGTCCGGATTCGAGGGAGGCGTCGAAACCGCGCTGGGGGTGGGCGGGGTCCCTTTAAGGCCGCGGGCAACTTTGATCAGAAATCTCCACTCGGCCTCCGTGTCAGGGGTCGAACCTAGGGGGTGAGAGATCGCAGGTCAGCGGGGGGGGTCACGGTGGCCGTGTGGCCGGGGTCACGGTGGCCGTGTCAACGCATGGAGGGCGAGGTTCGTCTCACCTGTAGGTCCGCTCAGCAGCGAGCGTCCCCGGTCGGCGCGCTGAGCCAGAGCCTCGAGAGCCTCCGCCCGGGGGTGGCGCTGGGCGGGCCGCACCCCCCCGGCCCCTCCCCTCAGCCTGCAGACGCAGACGCCCCAGGTAGCTCACGCGCTGCTGCAGGGGCAAGTGCGAGGGGGGCGGGTGGCTACCAGCACCGCGCCGGGCCGCCTTTGTCTCCCCTGTGGCGACGTTTACCGCACTACCGCTGCACCAGCTGCTCGTGAGCAGCACGTGACAACGTCACGTGCTGCTCACGTGACAACCCTCACCACAACGTCACGGACGAGGTGACGTTGTGGTGAGGGTTGTCACGTGCTGGTCACGTGACAACCCTCACCACAACGTCACGTGACAACCCTCACCACAACGTCACGTGCTGGTCACGTGACAACCCTCACTACAACGTCACGTGCTGGTCACGTGACAACCCTCACCACAACGTCACGTGCTGGTCACGTGACAACCCTCACCACAACGTCACGTGCTGGTCACGTGACAACCCTCACCACAACGTCACGTGCTGGTCACGTGACAACCCTCACCACAACGTCACGTGCTGGTCACGTGACAACCCTCACCACAACTTCACGTGCTGGTCACGTGACAACCCTCACCACAACGTCACGTGCTGGTCACGTGACAACCCTCACTACAACGTCACGTGCTGGTCACGTGACAACCCTCACTACAACGTCACGTGCTGGTCACGTGACAACCCCCACTACAACGTCACGTGCTGGTCACGTGACAACCCTCACTACAACGTCACGTGCTGGTCACGTGACAACCCTCACCACAACGTCACGTGCTGGTCACGTGACAAAACCTGACTCACTGTCTGTGCCTACACACAGCCTACACACACACACACACAGCCTACACACACACAGCCTACACACACACAGCCTACACACACACAGCCTACACACACACAGCCTACACACACACAGACTACACACACACAGCCTACACACAGCCTACACACACACACAGCCTACACACACAGCCTACACACACACAGCCTACACACACACAGACTACACACACACAGCCTACACACAGCCTACACACACACACACAGCCTACACACACACAGCCTACACACACACAGCCTACACACACACAGACTACACACACACAGCCTACACACAGCCTACACACACACACAGCCTACACACACACAGCCTACACACACACAGCCTACACACACACAGACTACACACACACAGCCTACACACAGCCTACACACACACAGCCTACACACACACAGCCTACACACACACAGCCTACACACAGCCTACACACACACAGCCTACACACACACAGACTACACACACACAGCCTACACACACACAGCCTACACACACACACAGCCTACACACACACAGCCTACACACACACAGCCTACACACACAGACTACACACACACAGCCTACACACACACAGCCTACACACACACACAGCCTACACACACACAGCCTACACACACACAGCCTACACACACACAGCCTACACACAGCCTACACACACACAGCCTACACACACACAGACTACACACACACAGCCTACACACACACACAGCCTACACACACACAGCCTACACACACACAGCCTACACACACAGACTACACACACACAGCCTACACACACACAGCCTACACACACACAGCCTACACACAGCCTACACACACACAGCCTACACACACACAGACTACACACACACACAGCCTACACACACACACAGCCTACACACACACAGCCTACACACACACAGCCTACACACACACAGACTACACACACACAGCCTACACACACACACAGCCTACACACAGCCTACACACACAACCTACACACACACAGCCTACACACACACAGCCTACACACAGCCTACACACAGCCTACACACACACAGCCTACACACACACAGCCTACACACACACAGCCTACACACACAGCCTACACACACACAGCCTACACACACACAGCCTACACACACACACACAGCCTACACACACACACAGCCTACACACACACAGCCTACACACACACACACACAGCCTACACACACACAGCCTACACACAGCCTACACACAGCCTACACACACACAGCCTACACACACACAGCCCACACACACACACAGCCTACACACACACACAGCCTACACACACACACAGCCTACACACACACACAGCCTACACACACATACACAGCCTACACACACACACAGCCTACACACACACAGCCCACACACAGCCTACACACACACACACAGCCTACACACACACACACAGCCTACACACACACACACACAGCCTACACACACACACACACACAGCCTACACACACAGCCTACACACACACACACAGCCTACACACACACACAGCCTACACACACACAGCCTACACACACACAGCCTACACACACACACACACAGCCTACACACACACACAGCCTACACACACACACAGCCTACACACACACACAGCCTACACACACACACAGCCTACACACACACAGCCTACACACACACAGCCTACACACAGCCTACACACACACAGCCTACACACAGCCTACACACACACAGCCTACACACAGCCTACACACACACAGCCTACACACAGCCTACACACACACAGCCTACACACAGCCTACACACACAGCCTACACACACACACACAGCCTACACACACACACAGGCAGAGAGAGACCGAGAGACAGAGAGTCTCACCTGGCCATCAGCTCGGGCTGAGCAGAGTCATCTTGTCTGTAGGGATCCACACTCGGCTGGGTCGAAGAATGAATCACTGCACAGACAGAGACATCATCACCACCATCACCATCACCACCATCATCACTACCATCATCACCATCACCACCATCACCACCATCACCACCATCATCATCACCATCATCATGGTGGTGATGGTGGTGGTGATGGTGGTGATGATGGTGGTGATGGTGATGATGGTGATGGTGGTGATGGTGGTGATGATGGTGGTGATGATGGTGATGGTGGTCATGGTGATGGTGATGGTGGTCATGGTGGTGATGGTGGTGATGGTGGTGATGGTGATGATGATGGTGGTGATGATGGTGATGGTGATGATGATGGTGATGATGGTGATGATGATGGTGGTGGTGATGATGGTGATGGTGGTGATGGTGGTGATGATGGTGATGATGGTGGTGATTATGGTGATGATGATGGTGGTGATGGTGGTGATGGTGGTGATGATGATGGTGGTGATGGTGGTGATGGTGGTGATGATGATGGTGATGGTGGTGATGGTGATGATGGTGGTGATGATGGTGATGATGGTGGTGATGGTGGTGATGGTGGTGATGATGGTGGTGGTGGTGATGATGATGGTGATGATGATCATGGTGATGATGATGGTGATGATGGTGATGATGATGGTGGTCATGATGGTGGTGGTGATGATGGTGGTGATGATGGTGATGATGGTGATGATCATGGTGATGATGATGGTGGTGATGGTGGTGATGATGGTGGTGATGATGGTGATGATGGTGATGATGATGGTGATGATGGTGGTGGTGATGATGGTGGTGATGATGATGGTGATGATGGTGATGATCATGGTGATGATGATGATGGTGGTGATGGTGGTGATGATGGTGGTGATGATGATGGTGGTGATGGTGATGATGGTGATGATGATGGTGGTGATGGTGGTGATGGTGATGATGGTGATGATGATGGTGATGATGGTGGTGGTAACCTTCCAGCATGGTCCTCAGGGCGTGGATGTCTCTCCCCCCTCTCCTCCTCCCCCCTCCCCCCTGCCCCCACCTCGTCACGGCCTCCTCCACTCTGACGAGGTCCATGAGAGACCGGAAGCAGCTCAAGAACCTTGCAGCGCGCTCCAACAACCCACCATCATCACCACCATCACCACCACCATCACCACCACCATCACCACCATCACCACCACCACCATCACCACCATCACCACCACCATCATCACCACCACCATCATCACCACCACTATCACCACCATCATCACCACCACCATCATCACCACCATCATCATGAGCATCATCACTATCCGCAGCACCATCACCGTCATCGCCATCATCACCATCACCGCCATCCTCGGCGATGATCAACATCACTTCAAAGTGCAGCGTCGCCAAACGTTGGACATCGCCGTGGAGTGAGACAGGCAGGGTGGCGATGGGGGAGCCGGCCCTCAATCTCCTCCTGACGCCATCACCAACATCACCAACATCACCGCCACCACCACCACCAACATTAACACCGTTGTGACCACCATCACCACGGCCTCCACCATGACCACCACCACGATTATTGACACTCTCATGTCCACCACCTACATCACCACCACCACAAACACCGTCACCACCACCTCCACCAACATCACCATCACCACCACCACCCCCACCACCGCCACCACCACCACCACCCCCACCACCACCACCTCCACCAACACCACCACCACCACCACCTCCACCAACACCACCACCACCATCACCACCACCACCCCCGCCACCACCACCACCACCCCCGCCACCACCACCACCACCACCGCCACCACCACCACCACCAGCGGCAGGCAGAACCGTGGCCACGCTATGCCACAGCTGCTGGGACCACCTCCACAGAGTCCTGTGGAGGCTTCTGGGGTCAAGGAAGTTTGTGGGGTCCTCCACGCTCAGCCTGGGGGGAGGGGGAGGGGGGAGGGGGGAGGGGGAGGGGGGAGGGGGAGGGGGGAGGGGGGGTTACAAGAAGAGGTGACCCTGAGTCTCTACATCCTGCTGATGCTGCTGATGATGATGCTGCTGATGATGATGCTGATGGTGCTGATGATGATGCTGCTGATGATGCTGATGCTGCTGATGATGATGCTGATGGTGCTGATGATGATGCTGATGCTGCTGATGCTGATGATGTTGCTGATGATGATGCTGATGCTGATGATGTTGTTATTGATGATGATGCTGATGATGATGCTGCTGATGAAGATGCTGCTGATGATGCTATTGATGATGCTGATGATGATGCTGATGCTGCTGATGATGCTGATGCTGCTGATGAAGATGCTGATGATGATGTTGCTGATGATGCTGCTGATGATGACTCACAGGGTCTCAGCCGTAGATCGTTTGAGGTCTTCCAAACGAGCGTCCTCCACATCCAGCTCGTCAGCACCTACATCACCACAACCACAACCATCACCACAACCACCACCACAACCATCACCACAACCACTACCATCACCACAACCACCACCTACATCACCACAACCACCACCACCACCACCACAACCACCACCTACATCACCACAACCACCACATCCACAACCATCACCACAACCACCACCTACATCACCACAACCACCACCACCATCACCACAACCACCACCTACATCACCACAACCACCACCATCACCACAACCACCACCTACATCACCACAACCACCACCACAACCACAACCATCACCACAACCACCACCTACATCACCACAACCACCACCACCACCACAACCATCACCACAACTACTACCACCTACATCACCACAACCACCACCACCACAACAACCACCACAACCACAACCATCACAACCACCACCACCACCACAACCACCATCACCACAACCACCACCACCACCACAACAACCACCACAACCATCACCACAACCACAACCACCACAACCATCACCACCACCTACATCACCACAACCACCACCTACATCACCACAACCACCACCACAACCATCACCACCACCTACATCACCACAACCACTACTACCACCACCACAACCACTACCACCATCACCACAACCACCACCACAAACACTACCATCTACATCACCACAACAACAACCACCACAACCATCACCACCACCTACATCACCACAACCACAACAACCAACACAACCATCACCACAACCACCACCACAACCACAACCATCACCACAACCACCACCACAACCACAACCATCACCACAACCATCACCACAACCACCACCACAACCACAACCATCACCACAACCACCACCACCTACATCACCACAACTACCACCACCATCACCACAACCACCACCACAACCACAACCATCACCACAACCACCACCACAAACATCACCACAACCATCACCACCACAACCATCACCACAACCACTACCACCTACATCACCACAACCACCACCACAACCACAACCATCACCACAACCACCACCACAACCATCACCACAACCATCACCACAACCACCACCACAACCATCACCACAACCATCACCACCACAACCATCACCACAACCACTACCACCTACATCACCACAACCACCACCACCACCACCACAACCATCACCACAACCACAACCATCACCACAACCACTACCACCTACATCACCACAACCACCACCACAACCACAACCATCACCACACCACAACCATCACCACCACCACAACCATCACCACAACCACCACCACAACCATCACCACAACCATCACCACCACAACCATCACCACAACCACTACCACCTACATCACCACAACCACCACAACCATCACCACAACCACCACCACCTACATCACCACAACCACCACCACAACCATCACCACTACCACCTACATCACCACAACCACCACCACCTACATCACCACAACCACCACCTCCTACATCACCACAACCACCACGACCACCACAACCACCACCTACATCACCACAACCACCACCACAACCACAACCATCACCACAACCACTACCACCTACATCACCGCAACCACCACCACAACCATCACCACAACCATCACCACAACCACCACCACAACCATCACCACAACCACTACCACCTACATCACCACAACCACCACCACAACTATCACCACCACAACTATCACCACAACCATCACTACAACCATCACCACAACCACTACCACCTACATCACCACAACCACCACCACCACAACCATCACCACAACCACTACCACCTACATAACCACAACCACCACCACAACCATCACCACAACCACCACCACAACCATCACCACAACCACCACCACAACCATCACCACAACCACCATCACCACAACCACCACAACCATCACCACAACCACTAACATCTACATCACCACAACCACCACAACCACCACCACCTACATCACCACAACCACCACCAACTACATCACCACAACCACCACAACCATCACCACAACCACCATCACCACAACCACCACCACAACCACCACCACCTACATCACCACAACCACCACCACAACCACCACCATCACCACAACCATCACCACCACCTACATCACCACAACCACCACCATCACCACAACCATCACCACCACCTACATCACCATAACCACCACCATCACCACAATCATCACCACCACCTACATCACCACAACCACCACCATCACCACAACCACCACCATCACCACAACCATCACCACCACCTACATCACCACAATCACCACCATCACCACAACCATCACCACCACCTACATCACCACAACCACCACCATCACCACAACCATCACCACCACCTACATCACCACGACGACCACCATCACCACAACCATCGCCACCACCTACATCACCATAACCACCACCATCACCACAATCATCACCACCACCTACATCACCACAACCACCACCATCACCACAACCACCACCATCACCACAACCATCACCACCACCTACATCACCACAATCACCACCATCACCACGACCATCACCACGACCATCACCACGACCGTTACTACCACCACCGTCACCACCACCACGACCACCACCATCACAACCACGACCACCACCACCATCACCACCGTCACCACCACCACGACCACCACGACCACCACCGTCACCACCACCACCGTCACCACCATCACCACCACCACCACCATCACCACCATCACCACCACCACCATCACCACCATCACCACCACCGTCACCACCACCACCGTCACCACCACCACCACCATCACCACCACCATCACCACCACCACCATCACCACCATCATCACCACCACCACCACCGTCACCACCACCACCGTCACCACCACCACCACCACCGTCACCACCACCACCATCACCACCGTCACCACAGCACCGGTCTGGCAGACTGACGGCTTGTGGGGACAGCTGCCACTGGGGGTGCCCCCACGGCTGTGAGGAATTCCCGAGCCGCTCACCCAAAGTCGCCTTCCCACTCTCCTCCTCCTCCTCCTCTCCTGTGCAGTCAGCTCCGCCCAAACGGACCCCAGCGTCGGCCAGACCCGGCAGCACCTCCACCTCCTCCTCGTCCACCACCTCGTCCACCACCTCGTCCACCACCTCGTCCACCACCTCGTCCTCGTCCACCACCTCGTCCACCACCTCGTACACCAACTCCTCCTCTTTCTCAGCTGCTCGCTGGGTCTTCGCTAAACCATCTCCACCGCTGCTGCTGTTGTTGATGGTGTTGGAGGAGGTGGTGGCGATGATGGAGGAGGAGGTGGTGGAGGTGGTGGTGGAGGTGGTGGTGGTGGTGGTGGAGGTGGTGGCGATGATGGAGGAGGTGGTGGAGGTGGTGGTGGAGGTGGTGGTGGTGGTGGTGGTGGTGGAGGTGGTGGCGTCAATTTCCCAGTGAGCTGGAGACCAAGGTTGACAATCGGTGCTGTAAGTCTCCTTGTCTGGGTTTGCCGATGCTGCTGTGGAGACAAAGGTGGCTGGGCAAGAGCGGATGGATGATGAGGATGATGAGGAGGAGGAGGATGACGAGGAGGAGGGGGGAGTGGTGTCATCAGCTGAGTGGACTTGGTAGATTCCCCCGTCCAGCAGAGAGAAGCTACCCTGTGGAGACACGGGGAGAGACACGCGGGGAGATGTCATGCTGATGATGATGATGCTGCTGCTGATGATGATGATGATGATGCTGATGATGATGATGCTGATGATGATGATGCTGATGATGATGGCACTGCTGTTGATGATGC